GTGTAACTTTACAAACGGCAGCCCATAAGTTTGCAGCTGTTTAAATGCTTGTGATGGCTGCTCAAACAGTAGGCCATCTGAACTATTGATGTCCTTTTTATATCCAAGTCTTTGAGAAGCAGATAGAAAAGGCAGTCAGGTTGGCCCAGCCTAACACTCTGAAGTGGAAGGACCTGCGTGCAGCCTGAAGGCAAATCACAACAATTAGAGACAGAACGAGAGAGAAGGCATTGGTCAAAACAGCCTCTGTTCCAGCCTCATTAAGTCWCATCTGTAGTTTTTATGTTTCAGATCAACTGTGGTCTTCACTAGGTTTAAAATCCTAAACAAACCAAAAAGAAACCAAAGCAGAGCCAGTGGGTAGTTTTGCAGTTTGAATCAGTTGAATCAGTGACATCTTTGTTAGTCTTTGACAGTCCAGGGTGGACAGTTTCTTCAGGCCGTGTTACCTCTTCCCTATCTCGCTCTGTCGTAAGAACTGGATGTTGTTAGCACTGTCAGCTAGTTCAGGGTACTGCTCGATGTAGTATCCATCATATCCCAACACTTTGCCGCTGCTCAGCAGCTGCCTCTTCTCTCCCTCTGTCCACAGACGGACTCCTTCCTCTCCGTCTCGRACTCGTTGCTGTTCACGAGCCCAGGCGCTCAGCAGAGCCCTCTGCCTGGCCTGTTCCAGAACTCGAGCCTTCTCCTCGTCCAGTGTGGTCCCATAGCGCACATGGAGGACCAGAGCACCGTACTGTAGCTCTACATCAGCAAAGCGACGCGTTCTTCCACCCATCACGGTCGTAGACTGGGACACGGTGACATTCACCCCGTTTTCCAGGGACTTCCTGCCRGAAGTGAGTCGAAGTGCACTCAGGTCGTTCTCAGGCAGACTGGTCTTGATGAAGTAGTGTGTGTCTCGTCCCTCCACGGTAAAATGTAGATCCTCAAGGTAAAAGGCATTATTGAGGACTCCAGCCACTTTGATGCAGTCCTCACTGGCGATGTTTAAAGCATTGGTGACCACACGTCCCTGGACCACGGCAAACATCACTCCTTTCCCCATCAGWGACCTGACGGTGGCAAACCACAACCAGGGTCTGGTGTGGTCTGAGTGTCGTCGGGTCAGTTGGATTTCAGGCATACGCTCAAAGGACAGGAAGGACGCAGACTGTCGGCTCACCTCCTGCTGGACACCTGAAATAGACTGTGGACAAAACCAACATGTGAGACAGAGTCCAGGACAGTGAGAGGAAAGATGATAACTGCACTATCCTGTAGTCCTTGTACCAAACACGTGTCTAATCAAAGGTCAAAACAAAWAAGCTCTGAAAAGATGTCACTTTTAATACAAAACCATGTTTTTGTTTTCATTTTTATTCAAACCTGTTAAAATTAGTTTCATTTTTATTACTTCAAGGTTAAGTTGTTCCTACAGGTGAAGGTAAAAGTCATTTGTATGGCTCTCACTGGGTTGTAACCGCTGGAGTCTAGTTGTTGAGTCAAATATGCAAGAAAAAACAAACTCTCCTTTTTAGTCAAACAGAATTCAGAATGTTTGTGGAAACAATGGCCTTCATGCAAGAACCGTTTGTACGAACAGATCTGTCTTAAGTTGTGTGTACGAGTGATTTAGGAGAACTTATCATTAGCAATGTTTACATGCACAAATTTTTTTTTGTCGGACTGAAATGTATTCTGATTAAATAATCCGAATGTACTGTTTACATGGACACAATCCGATCATGACAAGTGTTTACATGGACATGCGCAGTGTTGTAAACTGGCAGCTCTACTTCCGTGGTCTTCTGTGACGGACCCGTGTCAGCTTTTAATAATGGTAGTGTAAGAAAATTTGTATTCAATAAACTGAAGTCGAGATGATAAACACAAATGCTAAATAAAGTGATTTGTAGAAGGAAAGAAAACCAGACAACACCAGAGATCTGGAATCTGAGTGGAGGTTTATTGATGCTGTCCGCAGACAGGAAACCCACACGGGCCATGAAACCGGAAGTTTATATTTTCATACAGCTTCTTCAATGCCTTCGCTCGCCCCCTGCTGGCCTACGGCT